TAATAAGCATCATTTATTTATCTCTTCTTCAAATTCTGACTATTTTGTTTGAAAAGAAATGTTAAGAGTGGCTAAGCATACTAATAATCTTCTTTGTTGGGATCTTAGAGAAGGTGATGTTTCATTTTAGTTTGATGACTACATGGGTAATGGTGCCCTTGAAGATCATTATGGGGGTCCTTTCGATATCAATTTACGGGTTAAGGATTTATGGCAGAATAATTGTTGGAGGGAGGAATTTCTGCTTCAAATGCTTGATGTTAATGATGCTAAGTTCATTTCTTTTATTCACGTTTCCAATGATAAGCAGGATATCCCTATGGTTAAAGGCAAGCAGGGTGACTGTTGCTCTAAAAGTTTTGCTAATTCTTTTCAGATTTTTCAAGGGATGAATATTAAATGGATTTGGAATCCTTGGTTAAATCCTTATATTTCTTTCTTCATTTGGAGAGTTATCCATAACACTATTACCACGGATGATATACTTAAGCTTAATAGCTTGAGGCTTCCTTCTTGTTGCTTGCCTTGTCAAATGGAGGAGGAGACTATCCTTCATATTTTGTGTAACTGTATGTTAACTATTGCTATCTGGAATCAAATTTCTCTTAAACTTCTTAATATTGGAGCTTTGAATACTTATACTTATATCACTAAGATTTTTTATGCATGGAACAAATTGGGTAATGTTTTTTTTTTCCAAACGGTGCCTACGGTTGTCCGGTGGTTTATATGGATTACCAAGAAAAATATTAAACATAATGATGATTTGTCTAATATCTTGAGTATTGTGAGTATGTTTATTTAACTACTTGAGCAATAATTTGAAATTTAAAGGAGTTAAAACCAGCAATACACATATTACTACTCTTTTTCAGAATTTGAATAAATCTTTTGTTTGTTTCGATCCTACATCCTCTCAGGTTATTTGGTGTAAGCCTGCTGTGTCTTTTTTTAAGTTTAATACTGATGGATATTGGAAGAATGCTTCTACTAGTGTTGGAGGTGTTTATCATGACTTTATGAGTTCTATTATTTGTTGGTTTTTTGCTAAGGATGTTCCTGTCGCTGCTTTAACAGCAGAAGTGGATGTTGTTATCATTAGTCTATTGGTTGCCAGAAAAGAATAATCTTGTTTTTGAAGTTGATTCCCTTATTCTTTGGAGATGTTGCAGGTTTAAATTGGATGCTCATTGAAGCATTCTTCTTCAAATAAGGAGAATACGAGATCTTTTTAAGGATTTGAATATTTTTTTGACACATATTAAGCGGAATGAAAATAAGGTTGCTCATTGGGCTGCTAAAGTTGGTTTAAGATCTAATCATGCTTTTATCAGTAAGATGGTTCTGGAGGAGCTTTTGATTTTAGCTTTGAAGAACCTTAATTGTTGATTGTTTTGGTGTCTGTGTCTTTTTTTAAGTTTAATACTGATGGATTTTGGAAGAATGCTTCTACTAGTGTTGGAGATGTTTGTCATGACTTTATGGGTTCTATTATTTGTTGGTTTTTTGCTAAGGATGTTCCTGTCTCTGCTTTAACAGCAGAAGTGGATGTTGTTATCATTAGTCTATTGGTTGCCAGAAAATTAGGTTGGAATAATATTATTTTTGAAGTTGATTCCCTTATTCTTTGGAGATGTTGTAGGTTTAAATTGGATGCACATTGAAGCGTTCTTCTTCAAATCAGTAGAATACGAGATCTTTTTAAGGATTTGAATATTTTTTGGACACATATTAAGCGGAATGAAAATAAGGTTGTTCATTGGGCTGTTAAAGTTGGTTTAAGATCTAATCAATCAGTAAGATGGTTCCGAAGGAGCTTTTGATTTTGGCTTTGAAGAACCTTAATTGTTGATTGTTTTGGTGTTTTCCTATTCTTTTCTTCTCGTTCTTTTCTTTTGGAATGGAACCTATTTTATTTCTTGTGTGAGTTGTATAGAGATTTAGGTTCTTAACTTCCTTCCTACTTTTATAATTATCTTTTATTGCAATAAAATGGGAGCCATATAATGCCCTTTAAAAAAACATATATATTATTACACACATATTATTTAATAACATACAACAAAAGTATACATGAAACATAAATACAACGCCACTCTTATATCTCCATGTGGGAATTTATGGCCTCCATCTCCGTGAAGCACAAAGCTCAGGAGAAATGGAGGCGACCAACTCACTCCTCATCCTCTCCCTTATTGGCCTCATCTCCCTCCTCAAACTCTCCCTTCCCATCCTCCACTGGCTCTATTCAACCTTCCTCCGCCCAGCCAAAGATCTAAACCGTGTCTACGGCTCATGGGCCGTCGTGACCGGCGCCACAGACGGCATCGGCCTGGCCATCGCC